TGGTGGGGCAGATCCCTATGGGGGAACATGGAAGAGACCAGGCCCCATAGTTTCCTTTAAGGGTTGGTCCTTTGTTTTGGGGCCTATGGTGAGGCAGATCCCTATGGGGGAACATGGAAGAGACCAGGCCCATGCACCCAGTGATTTAAAACTCTCTCTCTCTCTCTCTCTCTCTCTCTCTCTCTCTCTCTCTCTCAGGTGTGTGTGTGTGTGTGTGTGTGTGTATGCAGGTACACATGCATGTGAAGGCTGCACATGGAGTGTATGCCTGTGCATATGAGGGTCAGACTGGGTCAATCTCAAATGTCTTTCCTAAGCAACATCCATCTTGTTGCTTTGTTTGTTTGAGACAGGGTCTCCCTGTAGACCCAGTTGGTCTGGAACTTACTATGTAGGCTGACTTCATTCTCATGGAGATCTGCCTGCCTCTGCCTCCTAAATGCTGGGATTAAAGGCATGTGCCACCAAGCTTGGCATCCATCTTGGTTTTTTTTGACACAGGGCCTCTCACTGGGACCTGGGACTTGCAGTTTCCATGTCCCAGGGCTCCTTCTCTTTCTGCTTCCCCACATCTGGAGTTGAAAGTGTGTACTCCAGGAGCTGGAGAGATGACTCAGTAGTTAGGAGCACTGGCTGCTCCTGCAGAGCACCCTAATTCCCTTCCCAGCACCCACATTGCAGTTAACAATTGTTCATAACTCCACTTCCAGGGGATCTGACACCCTCTTCTGGCCTCCATGGGCATTGCATGACATGTGTGCACTTACATACATGCAGGCAAAACACTCGACACATAAAATATAAATAAATAAGTAAAAGAAAGTGTACACTTCCAAGACCAGCTTTTTACATTGTTGCTGGCAACAAAACTCAGGGCATTGTGCTTACATTCACTGCAAACACTTTACCAACTGAGCTATTTTCCCAGCCCCTTAGGCCCTATCTCCTAAAGGCTCCATCACTTCACAAGGGAACAATCCTTTAACTTATGGGCCTGGGGGAAACATGTAGGGTCTACACTATGGGAGAAGATGGCCATCAATCACCAAGAGGAAAGGCAGGACTCAGAAGAAACCAACCTGGTCAAGATGTGAAACTCAGACCTTGTTTTCAAACTTTTAACCTCTAGTTCTGTGACACAATGCAGTTCTGTTATTTAATGAGTCCTGCCTGTGGCACTTTGTGTCAGTCCGTGTGACTGAATCTGAGGCACAGAAGCCAGAGTAGGAAGGCTCTAGGGAGTGGGAGCCTTTCAGGTAGGGAACCTTCCTGGCTGAGGATCCTCAGAGGCACAAACATAAAGCATCCCTTTAGTAGTCTGGGGTGTAAATGCTGCTGAGTAGGCATAGACCTCAAGGAATAATCAGCTGAAGTTCAGCAGATTCAAAGGAAGTGGTCTCCAGTCAGCAAGCAGCTGTGTAGTCACATGTCAGGGTTTTCAGGAGGATTTGGGTGTGAGTGCATGGTTGCACTTAAAGCCTGCCATGTTTCCTGTCTGCTGAGACTGACCAGTATACCCCACCGGGAGAGCATCTAGATATATGGATGAGGAGGGTGCTGAGCTGAAAGATGAAACGAAGGTTTGTAACTGTCATGTCTAGATCACAAAGCCCGGAGAGCCTGTATGTGCATGTGTTCGTTAGGTGTGTGTGTGTGTGTGTGTGTGTGTGTGTGTATGTGTGTGTGTATGTGTGTCCCGTGGCTTTTCACTGGCACTGACCACTTAGCTTGAGGCAGAACACAGGAGAAAGTCCACAAATCATGCACAATTACCAAAGGCATTCACATTCTGTGCAGGGCATTCTGGAACCCTCCAAGTGCAAGCATGTCACTGTGAACTGAGGTGCTGTCAGTCCCAGGAGAAGAGTGTGAGAATCCCATGCAAATTCCCCATTGTGGCATTTGGTACTTTGTGCCCCATTCTTTTTTATGCCCAAGAACTCACAAAAACTGTGCTGATTTTAGTCACTGCTGCTGAAGTGATTTAAGCAACTTGAACATAAACATCTGCGTTTATAGTTGCCTTACAACTGAGAAACAGCACATTTATAAATTAAGCACATACACGGTTATAATAGCAATGAAAGTCTAACAGCAGTTGTTTTACATGATGGTTTAGAAAATCCAGTTGCTTCTTCTATTAGTTTATGACTGAACATGGCTGAGAGTGCTCTGGAGTACTGGGGTCTCACTGTCCTGTTCTGGAACGTGTCAGTCACTTCCAACAATCAAGCTGTCCACACCTCCACAGGACCATCCTGCCCGCTTTAGACCTCTGTCAGTTACCATCTATCACTTCTATAACCTTTCAGCTTGGAATTGCTCCAAGCTTCCAATCTGGGAGTCTTCACTTCTCTGCATGGAGAGTGAGATGAGATGCCTTAATTTTTTTTAAATTAAATTTTTATGCACTATCACCTTGTAGCCCAGGCTAGCCTCAAACTCACAATTCTCCCGCTTCAGCTTCCCAAGTGCAGGCATTACAGACACTACTGTCAGGCTGTGTAAAATGTCTTAATCTCCTATTTCCAAAGTATTAAGAGTTTAAAACAGCAATTTTCCAAAAGCCCAAGTCTTCAGTTTAGATAAATAAAACCTCAGAGCTCTATTTTACGACATTTTTGAAGTTGTGGGATCATTTTATACTAGTAACACAAAAATTGAAATACCAAAATTTGTATGCTAGATAACATGATATCTTAGATAACAGCTATAGAATCTTATGACCAGTATACCAATAAAATAAAACCAAACATATCTTTAATAAAATAAAACATTTGTGTTTTTGCATGTGTGTGTGTGTGTGGTGTGTAAGTATATGCCTGTTTGTATGTGGTCAGGGCAGAAGTGTCTAAGAGTACACATGCATGTGTGTGTGAATGTGTGTGTAGGCCCAAGGCTGATGACCAATGCCTTCCTCAATTGCTCTCCTCATGTACTGAGGCAGGACTCTTGCTGAACCTGGAGTTTACCTTTTCTGTTTAGTATGGGATGTAGGTCTGATTTCAGATCTAGTACCTATCTTCCAGAATCCTCTCCCCACCCTGCCAAGCACTGCCTTGGGCTACAGGAATGAACTGACAGTAGTCAGGATCAAAGTTGTCAGTTCACAAATTTCTGTGGCCAGAGTTGAGGAGATGGCTCAGTGGCTACAACAGTTGCACTGTAAGTATGAAGATCTGAGTTCAAATCCTCAGTGTGCAAATCCTCAGTAAATAAGTCAGGTATGGCTGGATGTGCCTGTAACCCCAGCACTGGGGGAGGGGGCAGAGACAGATGGACCCTTAGAGTTCAACGGCCGGTCAGTCTAGCCAAAATGGTGAGCTTCTGGTTCAGTGAGTGACTCTGTCTCAAGGCAAAAAAGAGGAGAGAGACAGAGAAAGGAGTTCAATGCCCTGTTCTGGCCTCTACATGTCCCCACATGGGTGCATGCACCTGCACACTCATGCACACCACACACACACACACACACACACACACACACACACACACTACACGTGCAAAGAAAAAATAAATCATGTGACTCATAGAACCCTGGACAGGTCTTATGACTACTTTGAGTCTCAGTTTACTCAATTGTAAAATGGGGTCTGGGGCCTTAAGGTAGGCTCACTGGCTCATGTATGCAAAATGCAAAATGGTTTCAATGCTGTTTTCTGGAAGGCTTGAAGGGATGTTTGCATTCTTGGACTGTAGGATTCATTTGACCCTGGACCCTGGTCCCAGACTGGGGGGCGGGGGACGACTATGGCCTCACACATGCCAGACAAGCAGTATATCACTGAGTTGCATCCCCACCCCGTTTTCTGCCCTTTAAAAAAAAAAAATCTTTTGGAGACAACAGCTTGTAAGTTGCCCAGGCTGGTGCTGAACTTGATTTCCCTACTTCAACCTCCCTTCTAACAGGGATATAGGCATATGCTACTAGGTCCTGTGTGTCCTTACTTCTTGCCCCTGGTGTTGACCCAGTAGCCCTGAAACTGACTTGCCATCAGTGCCTCCCAGTCTTCCACAAACTTGGCTCAGAGGAGGAGTTGCTGCCTCCATCTTGGCTGTCTGATGGTCAGTGCAGCCCCTGGGGAGCTCTGCTTCATGGGACCCAATGGGCAGATCCCATAGGGCTCACAAAGCCCACTGTCCTGAGCATCAGGAGTGGGTGGTACCTCTGGGAATTGCCCTGGTTGGGTCAGTACTCACCAATGGTAGTATCTCTCTGGATGTATGCCTCTCCCAACCTTCCTCAGTCCCTTTAAGTGGGAGGATGCCCAGCTTCTGCCTCCTCCCCCTCCTCTTTCCACTCCTTCTGTTCCTTCTCCTCTCCTCCTCTTTCTCCTCTCCCTCCTCCTTCCTTTCCTCCTCCTCCTCCTCCTCCTCACCTCCCCTCTTCCTCCCACTCCTCTTCCTGCAACTCCTCCTTCTCCTCCTCTTCCTCCTCTTCTTCCAGGCACCCATTCTCAATGCGGCCTCATCTGCTGATTGCTGCTCCTCTTTTCTGAAACCCCCCAAAGTCTACCTCAAATAACAAAAAATAATGATTGCTAACGTTCATAGTCAGGCCCTGCTTGCTAAACTTCAACTTGGCTTCATAAACACCCCAGAAGGGCTGGGACTATTGCCCCAGTACAGATGGAGGGCACTGAGGCACACGAAGGTTACAAACTCATCCTAGAAGGCCACCTGGAAAGCTTTTCAACATCTGCAAAACCAGGGGCAGGACGGTGGAATCCTGAATGGCCATTCTTTTCCTTGTTCCCACCTATTCTGAACCCTCCTCTGTACCCTTTAAATTTCCAGGGATCCCACCCAGCCCCCATCTCCTCCAAGTTCAAGGCAGCACTGGGGTGCTTCTCCATCAGCTGCTCTGGACCTCAATGAGAGCCCCTGGGAAGTGAGTGCCACAGGTCCAGGGTCGGTGCTTGCGGAGGAACCCCGGTCTAGCCTCCTGAACCCCTCCTCTTTAGCAATGACTTGGTCAGCTCTGCAAGCCTGGCGTCTCCAAGATGGCTCAGAGCCTCAGTTTTCTCATCCGAGACATGGGCGTGGTGAAAGGGGACACCCGACCTTCTGAGCCAGTGGATGTGAAGGCCGCTCCCCCAGCCCGGCGCGGACCCAGGGACCCAGCAGCGGTGGCAGGCGGCCGAGGGGCGGGCCAGCCCGGGGCGGCGGTGGCGGCGTTGGCGGCGGCGCTCTCCTGCGGCACAGCGCCGGACGGCGG